TTTCTACTTCTTCTAGGGGTGTTGCTCTATGGGCCTTCTGTGATAACAGAAGAGAATTGCAGAACATCTGACCGTGCCTTGGTGGGTTTACTCTGGAAGTGTGGGGAGCTGGAGAATGTTGTGTGCACTTCATGCTGACTTGCTACCTCATGTCTTAACATTTTAAATCCCGTCTGTTATCATCAGGGAATATACACAGAGAGTTGGGGGGTGGGGGTGGAGAAACAATTTACACTCTGTCTGAAAGGCTGCAACATAACACAACTTTATCTCTTAGAATCCAGAAGTCTAACACACACACACACCAAATGGACCGAGAGACAAAGCAGGCTGCTCCCTAAGGCAGAGAAGCACAATTCATCCTACTTTAGGCTGGGTCACTGCATACTGACTGCTGAAGACCCAGATGGCACACTTTCCTCTGAGCTGCCCCTAACCTGCCAGCAAGACCAGAAAGCCTCTTGGAACCTAAAGTAATGGCTTGTAATTTCAATACCATGTTCAGTACCCTAGCCCCAGGGGAGCAGGGAGTTATCCTGGTTGTTCTGAGCTTCTGCAGAATCTCAGTTTTCACATAAAAGGAAGAGTAGGTTTCTAGCCTTTATGGTTGTGAGTGTAACCAGTGTTGTATTGATCGGGGTTGTGAGCATCTCTCTGGCCAGGGGGTTGCATTGTGTATGTCTGCCTAGAGTGGGGGGTGTGAGGATGGGTGAGAGTACCTCCATTTATCCAGGGTGTGAAATGGGTATAGGTGTGTCTCTCCATCCAGAGCGGTGGTGTGTTCATCCCAGGGTTTGAGAGCATGTACATAAAAAGACCAAGATTCCCTTTTCTCTCTTTAAGTGAGTGAAAATGGGTGAAGTCAGAGCGCGCCCAGGAGAAGATCTCCCTCTCAAGAATAAACCTGGATCAGTTCTTTTCTTGCTGGGAGTTTCTGCAAGATACCCTAGAGAACAGCCCATTGATCTCCCCTGGCGAGCTGTAGGTCCAGCAGTTCCTTCCTCAGCCATGCACACTGCTACTTAGGCCAAAACGTCCTGTGGCACAGCGAGGTCGGTTAGAAGTGTGAAAGAACCCGCCGGATAGAGCAGCTATGCTGACAGCTGTGCAGCCAAAAGCCCTCTGGTAACGTTGGTCAGGAAGGTGGTGTTCCTATGCCATCAGAAAAACTCCTGTCAGCGTAGCTGTCTGTACTGGGGGCTCTGCCGGCATCACTCTACTGCCATCGGCTCTGTAGTGTGGACACGGCCTTAATTGCCTTCTTCTTTTACTAAGTCTCTTTGTCGCTTCCATTTTTCTCTCCTCTCTGACTCTCTCCCACTTTTTAGACTCCGAGAGGCCGCTGAAGTGACGCACCACACAGTAACGTGAGCACAGTGTTCAGACTATGCCTCGTCCCTTGCATTTGCATACACAGTGCGCTGCGAGCTAAGCGATCTTTTGCCTTCCTTGCAGCTGGCTCTGGTTCCTCACCTGCCCCATTTCTTACTATAAAGCTTAAAAGCAGGGCATGCGTCCCCTGCCCTGCATGTCTCAGATGGCCATAGCTCGACAGCGTGAGCTGCTCACCGCAGCCAACAGTGCCCCCTGCAGAGCCGGGGTGAAGGGTGCGTTTTTAAAGAGCTGGTGATGCCTGAATCTGCTGCTCAGCTGAACTCTGTCACCAGATTAATGGTGTCTCAAGCAGACGGGTGCGGAGGGGACAGTGCCTATTCATTGTGTGATGTCACAATACAGCAATGCCGAGGGGGACACTGCTTGCCTCTCCCCCTCCGGCTCTGCACTGCTGGTGTTTCTTGAACAGAGGCCCCTGCCCTCACAAGCTTTGTCACTTTGCAGATCACATTGGAGTGGATCTGATGTCGGGAAACGTCTAACAGCCCTGGCCCAAATCCTGAGGTTCTTACGCAAGCAAACGTCCAAACATCAATGAGAGGGAACAACCCCTGTGAATCTGGCCTTGTAACTAGAGGGTCACACACTCCATAGCTTCTGTGGGCTGAGCTTGGTGCAGCCCTCCATTCCCCCCGCAAGCTCCCTGTGGGCCACCACCAAGTGCCTCTGCTTCAGGGGTTCCCTGCAGCTCTGTGTGCCCCCATTTATTTTCTTCGCCCCCATACCAGAGCCACCCTGCCAGGGGTTCGGTGTGCTCTCCATTCTTCCCACCCCCAGGACAGGAGCTGTGTGCGCATCCTCATTCCCCTCACCAGTACTACTTGTCTTCAGTCTGTCTGGGAGGTCAGTGATTCAGGGTGTCACCATGGGGCAGTGCTGTGTTATGCTGGCAGGGCCATCAGCCAGCTCTTAGGGTTATAGACAACTACAGAGTGCTTAAAGCTGTGGCTTTGCTAATCAGTGGCAAGGGCTCCCTGTGCGTTTCCTTCCCGCCTTCTCATTTTCCAATTTCTCCCCAGATTAAAAGGGTTCTGCTTAGCGATGCCTAGAACATCCCCTGTGGCTTTGGAAGTGATCGGATGAGGTGTTCACAGATGTGCAGAAAATGCCGGGAAATGCTGTTGCACTGTGTGTAAAGCCTTGCACGTTTGGCCAGCTGTTATCCATAGCTGGGTGGTGTTTTGCACAGCAGGATGTGAAACATTGACTGTATTAATGCATTAGGGGCTGATTGTGCCATTCTGATGCCTGATTGCTGGTCTGCATGAAATTAGCCTGTGAGCTCGGTCCAGTTCACTGTGGGCAGTATAGAACCCTCCTGCACAGTGTCTTTGTTGGTGTCACTAGTGAAAGCACCAAGGAGTCAATGGGAGACTAGTCTGTCATCCCTACAAGTGGTCCCTTTGGCGCCAGGTTGAGCCGTATTGGCTCTGTCCTGTGGGGAAGTCTGCACAGCCAGGGACTGTACAGGAACTCGTTCTGTCACGAAGCAAAAGGGCTTCCATCTCTCAGGCTATCCACTTCTCTGCAGCATGAAATGCTCACTTTAAAAAGTTGTCTAAGGAGTTCTAAAAACACCTAGATTGTAAGGCCCTGATTCAGCAGATTCACTACTTAGAACATCAGTTCTTTGGGACAGGAACTGTCATTGTGTTCTATGTTTGCACAGCACCTGATGCAGGGGGACCTGGCCCACGATGGGGCTCCTAGGTGCTGCGGTATTGTTAATAATAATAATAATAATAATTAATAAAACACTCAAGCACATGCTTAACGTTAAGCACAGAAGTAGTCCCAGGAACGTAAAGATATGAATGTGCTTAATTGCTTTGCTGGGTTGGTAATACAATATGGGGCATACAGTCTTCAAGTAAGTAAAAGGTTGTTACAAGGAGGAGGGTGATAAATTTTTCTCCTTAACCACTGAGGATAGGACAAAAAGCAATGGGCTTAAATTGCAGCAAGGGAGATTTAGGTTGGACATTAGGAAAAACTTCCTATCTGTCTGGGTGGTTAAGCACTGGAACAAATTACCGAGGGAGATTGTGGACTGTTATTGGAGGATTTTAAGAACGGGTTAGTTAGACAAACACCTGTCAGGGATGGTCTCTAAGACTTAGTCCTGCCTCAGTGCAGGGGACTGGACTAGATGACCTGTTGAGATCCCGTCTAGTCCCACGTTTAGTTCTATTATTTCTACCGCAGGGTTATTCACTGACATCGTTCAGTGTTTCAGAGCTGCAGTGTCCTTTTTTCTATGGTTCCTGGAGCCTCTTTGTGAGCTACTAGAACAGGCTGTCTGCTCATCGAGAGCCTCCCTGTGCTGTTTGCCCCCAGGAGAGGTGGCTGCGGTGCAGGACACAGCTTTTGATCTGAGGAAGCCGGTAGAGCTTGGAAGACACATGCAGAAGTTTCAGCTCCCTGGCTTTGACCATAACTTCTGCTTGGAACAGTCGGCGGCTCGACACTACTGTGCAAGGTGGGAACTCGATTGCATCAGCTGTGTAAAGCAGTGGTGGCTCCTTGGCTTCAGGTCTTTCTGGTTTGCACCAGTTGTGCTTGCAGCACAGAGGGCATCGACTGGGGACTCTGAAGGAAGGTCCCAATTTTCTGTCCCTTCCATCTACAGGCCCCCCCATTACCAGAGTATTTGAGCCTCCCAGTCTTTAATGTATTTCCCCTCACAAGAGGCCTGTGAGGCAGGGCCGTTCTGCTGTCCCCGTGCTGCAGATGGGGAACTGAAGCACAGAGAGATTGAGTGGTTAAGGTCACAATGGGAGCCTTGGGCAGGGAGTTGAACCTCTCTCCTGAGTACCGGGCTGGCACCCTGACCACTGACCCATCCTTCTCCCCTCTCCTTGCCCTGTTCTTCCTGGCTCCCTGCCACTCACCCTGTCTGGCTCTCACTTCCCTGGTCAATGCAATGCATGGCCCTTTCCCTCCCCCACGCCCTGTCTTGCTGCCCCATCCCCTCCACTCCCGTCCCATAGGCCATCCACTGCCATCAGCCTCCTGTCAGCGCTTTGTCGTCTTGGCCTCCTCATTGCCTGGGCATTTAGACTGCACTAATTGCCAGGGAGGCTAAGTGCCCTACAAAATTGCATGAGCTGCAGGCTGATCTTCTGGTTCCTCTAGCGGGCTTCTCATTAATGTCACTCTTCCTGTGGGGAAGCTGGGACAAAGAGGGGAGTCTTGCACTGTGTCCTGAAGTGCTGGTCAGTTCTTCTGAGACTGTCCTCTTTCCTTGCTTTCCAGGTTTCGTTCCTTCCCCCTCTTGCTTTCTGTCTTTGCTCCCTGGGTACAAACCTGCCTCTCTTTATACAGCAACAGAGGGTCCTGTGGCACCTTTAAGACTAACAGAAGTATTGGGAGCAAAAGCTTTGTGAGGTTCTTACCCACGAAAGCTTATGCTCTCAATACTTCTAACTTTCGTGGGCAAGAACCTCACAAAGCTTATGCTCTCAATACTTCTAAGCTTTCGTGGGTAAGAACCTCACAAAGCTTTTGCTCCCAATACTTCTGTTAGTCTCAAAGGTGCCACAGGACCCTCTGTTGCTTTTTACAGATCCAGACTAACAGGGCTAGTTACTTGTCTCTTTATACAGAGCACACCATCCCCCTAGTGGCAGGACGATGGAGGTTTACACCACTCAGCCTGGGATCCAGTTCTACACTGGAAATTTCCTGGACGGCTCGCTGGAGGGGAAAGGGGGCTCTGTGTATCCCAAGCATTCAGCCTTCTGCCTTGAAACACAGAACTGGCCGGATGCAGTTAATAAGGTAACTATTGCTGTCCTGGAAATCCGTACCAGCGCTGGGGGGAAGGGCTCCTCTGAGCTGATGGAAGTTACACACACGCTCATGGAGACGCAATGGCTCCTTAGGCCTGGTCTACACAGCTTTGTACCAGAAGATCGATGTTGGTTAGGGTGTGTGCCTCCTAATGTAGATGCAGTAACTCCAGGGTCATGACAAAACACCACTAGGAGCACCACAAATAACCTCCGCTTCCTGGATCTCAGTTTGGACTCAGGTTTCCAGGAATGTATTAACCAAATGCACCACCAGCCCCCCCCCCCCATTTAACAGCCCTATCAAATGCCAGAAGCTGGGTGTGTAAGGAGGTAGCTGAATGCTTTTCCTGTAGGAGGAGGAGATATTGTCACTTGCTGTATGATTGTATCTTAGCAACCAGGGGGTCGCACACTTGGTTCCTTTTGTCAGGTGGGCTCATTGCACCCACCAGGGGCTCCCTGCAGCCCTCCCTTTCCCCCCACAAGCTCTCTGTGAACCACCTCCCATCCCCTTCCATTTCAGGGACTCCCTGCGGTCCCTTCTCTTGTGCCAGGTGTCCTGAACTGTGTCTTAGCAATGAACGGTTCCTACAGTACTCAGGCCTGACATCGCTTCGCCCATGCCCTGCTCCCGTTCGCAGGTGTGAGAGCCTGTGAAAACACATGTGGCATCCTGCAGCCAAACTGTGAACCACAACGTACAGCTCACTTCACAACGTTCCCCTCCCGTGGGAGAGCTGTGCCTGGAACAGAACAGCTGTTTTAAATGCACAAAACGACGCCGATGCTGAGGCTTAAAACAAATGTTAAACTAAGCTGTTTGAAGTAGCCTATTTGGTCCTAGCATTTCCATTGCAGGAGCAGCAGTAAATGTGTCCTTAGTTAGCTAACTATAAGCAGTATCAGGTTAAACCACCTCCCCTTAGAAGGCTACTGTGACAATTAAAAGGAGCATGAGGATTTTAGATCTTTTTACCAAAGCTAAAAATGGCTCTTGCTGAGCAGTGATAGCACACGGCCCCAGCTGTGAGACTGTCCGATGCAAGATACTGTGTTTTTCTTTCCACAGCCCCATTTCCCCAGTGCGCTGCTGCGGCCAGGAGAGGAGTATAACCACACAACTTGGCTCAAGTTTACTGCAGCTTGAGGAGTCACCTCTGCAGCCACAAGGAGAAATTCATCACAAAGTGCTCTGCGTAGTGGGAGGGGAGCAGGGGAAATCACTTAAAATAGCACCAGGAGCTTCCAAACTTCTCCAGCACAGGCAGAGGGGACAGGTGCCAGGACGTCTCCTAAGGACGGCGTTTGTCAAAGCTCTCGACACTGGCTTGACGGCTCCCATTGGAATCACTGGTAAAGCTCCCCTTGATGTCAACAGAGGGAGTTAGGCCAGCGCTGAGGCCCTGATCCCCAAAGGGACTTATGCACCAAACTGCCGTTGAGTTCAATAGGAATTAGGCACCTAAGTACCTTTAAAACCTGGTCCTTAGTGGCTACAAAACTTGTCTTCCTCATCCATCAATTGGACCATGTCAAGGCCTCTTTTAAACTCCTCTCCCCTGTCTCCTTCCCCATGGAATCCCCAGGGCCATGCAATTTCCATTCGGGATGAACTTGTCTTTGAGTCATTCCCACTTGCCCTGTCACGTTTGTCTCTTCCCACTCCCCCATCAGAGCTTTTTTCTGCACCAAACCTTCTGCCATTCAAGTGCTAACTAAAACCTCACTTCTGTGACCCCAGAAGTGAACCAAAAATAAATCTACCCACTATTCCTTCCTCTGGGCTGCCCCATGCAGCCCCGCTTCTCTGTATCTGTCTTTTAGGCCTGGTCTACACTAGAAAGTGTTACCTGTGTCTCGGTTAGGGGTGTGATGTTTTACCACTACAGTTATACCAGGAAAGACACTAGTGTGGATGCAGGTAAACCGACATAACACAGATATACTTATTGCCCTCTCATCTAGGTATAAAACAGTCCAACTTACTAGTGTAGAGAAGCCCCCAAAGAAAGAAACACCTTTGCACGGGTAGCGCTCACTCGTGCAAGTAGGGACTAAAGCCAGGGGATCTGTGGCCTCCATCCTCAAAGGCATTCAGCTACCTCACGCCCATGGGGCGTTACCTTTGAGGCTCTGGGCCTATGTGCAGGACTAAGGCCAGGGCTGCACAACAAGCAGTAGCCAGTGTCGCTAGGTTGGATGGGGTGTGCTGTGATTGACTCAGCTGTGCTGGCAGAACCCCCCTAGTCATACCAGCTGAGCTGCGCTTTGGCTGGTACTGCTCATTTTGCACGAGGGGGATGGAGTAAGTTACACCAGCAGCAGTGCAGCATTGCCAGCGTAAGCTGCATTGCACTGGGCAGGTAACGTACCCTGGCTACGTGTTCCGTGTGCAGATACGGCCTAAGGACCATTCACAAAACTAAGGCTCTGCAGGAGCAGTGATTGGCAAGATCTGCTTGACCTTGTGTTGCTTAAATAATAAAAATGGACGTCCTCTCAACCCACGTCCTGGGCGCCGCTGGCAGAAAACTTCTCTGAGATTTAAATCTGCTCAACTTCATCATTTGAATAGTTAATCTTCCATCTGGTGCTAGTAGCTGATGCAGGACTTATGCCTACCTAACTGTATAAAGATCTTGCTTATTACTCACTTTCACTGTATTGCTTTTACTTCCTCAATAAAAATGAATTTTCAAGATGACTTGTAGACAAAGAAGGCCCAGTTCCCAAGCTGAAGCCAAGGAGTGGGGCGGGGGTATGCGTGTACATAACCTTTCTGGAGCTGATTGTGCTGGCCAGTCCCCTACCCTCAGAGCGCCTCTGGCTACCAATGGCCATCAAGGAACTGTCAGAGCAGCTGGGACTCACGGAGGTACAAAGATGCCCCAGCTATGCATCTAGCACCAGCCCTGGAATGCAGAGGTGACACACAAGCATCTGCTGATATTGTGGAGATCCTCCCACACCAGATCTACCAGTTTGGTGCTGGAGGGAGCAGAGCAAAACCACCCCAATGCAGCCCAGGATCTGACCCAGAGACTACATGATCCATGCAATCTGATCACTGATAATTCTACTGGCACTGTATTCATTTTTTCCCCCTTAGATTCACACATTAAGGCCAGTAGGGCTCATTGTGATCATATCGTCTGACCTCCTGCATAACACAGGACTTTCCTTAATTAATTCCTACTTCAAATCCACTAGTTATGGTTGAACTAGGAAAAGATCAAATCTTGATTTAAAAATTTCCAGTGATGGAGAAGCCACCAGATCCTTGGTAGGCTGTTCCAATGGTTAATTACCTTCATTCTTAAAAATGTGGGTCTTATTTCTAGTCTGAATTTGTCTGGGTTCAGCTTCTAGCCCTTGGCTCGTTAGACCTTTGCTAAACTGAAGAGCCCTTTATTAAGTTTCTGTTCTCTACACAGGTCCTTACAGATTGTGATCAAATTGCCCATTAATCTTCTCTTCAGTAAAATAAACAGATTGAGCATCTTGAGACTTTCACTATAAGGCATGTTTTTTAATCATTCTCACAGCTCTTCTCTGCGTCCTCTCCAATTTTTGAATATTCTTGAATTGTGGAGACTGGACCTGGACTCAGTCTTCCTGTAGTAGTTACATCAGTGCCAAACACAGTGATAATATAACCTCCCTAAGTCCATAGTCCCCTTTATACATCCAAGGGTCACAGCCCTTTTGGCAACAGTATCATGCTGGGACCTCATGTTCAGCTGATTATCCACTGTGACCCCAAATCTTTGCTTCCTAGGAGACTCCCCCACCTTGTAAGCATGGCCTTGGCGCTTTGTTCCTAGATGTATGCCTTTAGATTTGGCTATGCTGAAATGCATAGTTTGCTTATGTCCAGTTTACAAAGCAATCCAGAACGCACTCTATCAATGTCCTCTTCATTATCACTACCAAACCACTCCCCTGCTTTTGTGTCATCTGTCAAATTATCAGTAATGCTTTTTCTTCCAGGTCAGTGATAAAAATAAACAGCAAAGCACCAAGAACCAATCCCCACAGGACCCTACTTATTAGCAAGAGAGTTTTCAATCCATTTAATGTGTGCCATTTTGATTTTGTATCATTCTAACTTAACCACAGTGTTGTACAGTACCGAGTCAACTGTCCTACAAAGTCTAAGTATATTATATCAACGCTATTACCTTTTTCAATCAGATGTTAGCATGACAGTAATGTAAACTATCTTACCCAACTCCCTCACACATGGTAAATTCCCACTCAGCCCCTACTTCTAGCTAGAATTGTTGCCTGGTTCTCTCCCACTGAACATTCTCCTCCCAGCTCTAAGCCTGCAGGTTTTCCTGGGCAGCTAGTTTCCTCTTCAACTTGGTCTACATGCACAAGTTGCACTACCAAAAAAAAAAAAAAGTGTTAAGCTAATGCAGCAAAGCTCTGTGCTGACACGTGTTTCAGTTTAACGGTTTGTCATTCCAGTTTAGGTCAAACCGGTTCCCAACCAGTTAACACCAAACCAGAATCAAGGAACATCAACACAGGAGTTTGCACAGGTTTAACTAGCTTTAAATTCACACATCTTAAGTTCATGCAACTTTTCATGTACACAAGCCCTTAAACTGCTATGGTGGTTAATAGCAATAACTAGACTGGCATTTCCAGCTGCTCACACCACCAGATGCTCCGAAGGTTTTCTACTACTTGCCAGTTTCTGTTTCCAGAAGGGATGCACTGTATTTCAGCACATCACTGGCCACAGCTCCTTTACAGCCTGCGCTGCCCGCTCTTTGGGCACTACTGCCCCCTACCAGAGAAGGGGGAACCCTTCCCTTTGGAACAGTCCTGCCCGCATCTACCCTGTTCCTTAAGTACTCCCATGACAGACAGTTACAACTCTTAAATCCTAAGGAAATGCAGTCTCCGCTGCGGTTTCTATGCTGCTCTGGAGGAGCGGAGAGACAGAAGAGATGTACCAGTCCAGTAATTGTAGAGTCTGCATGTTTATTGTGGAGTAGGTTTGTCTTAACAGTACAGAAGAGAAAGAACTCATTAAATGCAATAGCATCATTCCATGTGGCACTTTTACTAGTTACACTGTAAAACTGCCAGACAATGGACAGTCTATACTGATGAATGTCATCCTAAGCAATGGCTTCTGGGCATATTTGCTGAATTATTCCAGGAGAATCATACAATGTTGTCATTTCCTGCTCCCCATTTTGCAGTCTTGTTTTATGGATATTAGCAGAATATTAATCACAGCGTAATTAGTACTGGGAGTGGATGCTTCTGTTGCTAGGCAACAATGCACTGAACGTATGGAAATCAAACACCAGAAAAATCAAGACTAGACATCAAAGCTAGGAAAGTGGCTAGTACACTTCAGAAATAAAGCTGCCAAGTGTAACGTTTTCAGAGTGTGGGGACTACTTAGGGATTCTAACATCTACCAGACACATAAGTGGAGTCTAATGAGAAGTCTGTTATCTGAAAATTATGGGTTACCCAAAATTTGTCTTTTGGTCCAAAAGGTCATTTTGCTATTTAAGGTACTACATTAATAACTTGATGCTTTTACAAGTTGTAAACTTTTAATCTGCCATTAGCCATTTCATTAGGAGCCCAAACAAGTCTGCTCTTTCAAATTCAGTGGATGTTTAGAAAACCCTAACAGTTCTCCTTAAATGTTGAAACTGACATCTAGCTACATTAAATAAAGTAGTCCAGAATAAAAAAAAACCTGGAGATTTGTAATATCTATTAAGGAAGCTGGCAGTCTAACACTATTTTTGCCAATCAGATAAGACTTATGGACAGCCAGGCTCAGTTTCAACACGAAATGCCAGATCCCCATGCAACTCCTGGATACAGAACAACATGGCTTTAGGGAGTTTCACATAAGATTCATTTTAAGCTCTTCAACCACATATCTGCTGTGTGCACTATAGAGTTCATTTTACCAATATCTAAACAGGTTTTGTCTACAAGCGTACAGGCTGCTTTATGATTGCGACCTGTGTTGCAGAACAGTTCTCAGTTTCACTCAGGTTAGACTAACTGACCATAAATGAGTTGTGGTAGAGAAAGAGCGACATAGCTGCCTTTTCTCTCGGAACATGAACCGTTATTTGAAGGTAACCTGCAGTGAAAATATTGTGCTTGTGCCCTTCTGCTTTGTGATAAGAAAGACTTTACTTTTTGTAAACAAACTTTAGACATTAGAAATTCATACTCTCTCTACATTGGAAGATTACAATGAATAGAGAGCTCATGTAAATGGTATTACAGGAAGTTATGGCAACAGATATCAAGGATTTTTAGTCACTGTTTAAAATTTTGTCATCCATTTAACGTCAATAACAAGTTCACATAACTAGAGACTATTTAAAATAAACTGGGAAGAATATGATTGGTTTAGGGTAGGCTAATGGTAGCCACCTTTTTTTTTGTTAAGCAGTAGGGCATCACAAGACTTTTTAGTTAGAAATACACATTTTATTTCAATGAGGCAATAAAAAACGTGTCAATAAAAGAGTCCCACATTTTCAGATCACAGGATGTTAATACATACAACAAAACAAGTTGTGCACTAGTCTACTGATGTGACTTTGCAGAATTTAAATGATCCAGATCCATGTCAATTGTTATCAGATTGAAATACTCTTCTAGAACTACGCCCTTACCATTTACATCAAAGACACCACAAATCCCTTATAATAATGTAAACAAAATAACGTTCTTCCCAGAAGGTTAACTTTGAAATTTCAGTCCATTCTTACAGGACTTGCACTCCTCCTTCGAGGGCTTCCTGATGGTGAACGACTGAAAGTGAAAAGAAAACAGAAGTCGGTTGGAATAACTTCAATATTCATCTGGAACTGCAGATTCAACACCACTCACCACACCCAGAAAGCCCTTTCTTCCCAGTACTGATGAGGTTAGTGAGTTAGTTTTTCTTTTAAAACAGACCTTGCAAACATACACTGTTAGATGATCTCCTCAAGGATGTACGAAATCTCAAGTTTGCTATAGAGTCATTAGTCTTTTTAATTAATAAACAATGCATCTTTAAGATTTGACAGTCTTTTCTAAAGTGTCCAAAAGAATAAGAGGAAGAGAACAGAGTAAGGAGGAAAAGGAAGACTACAAACAAGGTCTCAGTGTGGCATGTTACAAGCTACTCCAGTTCCCATGCACTCCTTCCCTCAGGAGATTTTTACCAAGCTTGGAAGAGTTGTCTCCAAGTGTTCAGAAGAGCATACTTACCCAAGTTAATGGAGAATGGTTATAAATGGCTCAGACTAAAATTGAAAACAAGGCTAGTGATTAATTACATAAAAACATACAGAAGTTCTAATAAGAACTGATCTGGGCTACAAAAGGAAACTAGAGAATTTCATCTTGCTATTACCTGTAGGAACAGCAGACTGTGCAGCTATTTGGTAAGGCAGAGCCAGCAGCAAGAATGACAGCAGTTTGAGTCCATTCAGCCAGATGGTGTTTGTTACAAGAAGTCTTTAGTTTGTTTTGTTTCACACATTTAATCTGTTTCCAGCTTTACTCTGAGCCATTTCCATTGCCCACTATCCTTAGTATTATTCAGATTTTTCCTCTGGCTACAAACATCCCTTGAGAAACTGGGTTCAGTCCTTCTGAAAAAGGTTTTAACTGTAAGCCAAAAGTAGCCCATTGCACTTTCTACAAAAGAAG